ATGGATGGATGGATGGATGGATGATGGATGGATGGATGGATGGATGGATGGATGGATGGATGGATGGATGGATGGATTCTGTTCCTTCTGCCCCTGGGCGTTCTGCGTTTGAAGCGTTTCCATGGAGACGAACTGACCTGTGTTGAATGAAGCTAACCCTCAGCAGTCTGCATCTCAGCTCTGATGGATGTTTAGTTTTTCCTCCTTTAGGCTGAAGGCTGCAGAGCCTCGGCCGCCTGCAGGCAGCTGCTCTGCTCCATCATCAGGGTCGGTTCCCTTTGGTCCTAAACTTCTCACATCCTGCTGAAGGCGAGTCTTTGGGGCCGGTTCTGCAGTCTGTGGGCCAGAGGAACTTCTGCTTCCTCATTGCAGGTTTCACCTTGGTTCATGATTAACTGGCTTCAGGTTGTTTTTCTTGAAATGACTCATTGCTGAAAGTGTCAATAACTAACAGATGGATGTGAAACAGCAGGGCTCTAAACCCTGAGTGTTTACTGGAGCCATTAGTAAGGCTGAGTTTAACATAAAATCAATGAATCAGTCTCAGGTTTGCACTATGGTGAAAAAATAAAACATTAGCGTATTACCTTGAAGATATTTTGATTTAGTGTTGGTGGAACCATTTCTGTGTCGATGTGGATCATTGTTCTACTTAAAACCTCAATAACGACACTTCCTGCCCTCTGATCGCGGAAACCAGAGTTTTATTTCAAATGTCCTGGTGTTTCAGAAAGTTCATAGAATCTAACAATGTTCTCTGGGCTTTTAGGCCTGGCTTTATAAATCCTACTTTTACTTTCTGTTTATAAATCCTGAAATATAAATGCGCACCATATTTCATCAATAAAAACAGGGGAAGGCGATTGCTGAGAGATTAATGTGTCATTTTGTCATGTTTTCCAATACACACATTATTTCCAGAAGTATATCCAAATTAAATGTAATATTTATCAAATTTCAATTTTCACATTTTCTATAAGTGCTATTCTTTGTTGTTTTTTTTTTATGAAAATATGAAAATGTAGTCAAATACTTTTATCCCAGTTTAGTCTAGTTTCCATCTGAGGATCTTAGTTTTAGTCCTGAACTGCTTTTAATTAAGAACTAATCTAGTTTATATAAAAAAAAGTGATAGAATATTGCACAAAGTGAACATTTCTTCACGGAAGGTAGCTTTTAACAACAGAAAAAGGAACAGTGGCGTGCACAGACATTTTTGGGGGCAGGTGCTCAGGTTGGAAAAAGGGCCCCTCATATGCAGTAGTCTAATTGTTAATATGGTGGAATTTTTAAATTAACCTAAAGCAGTATGCCTGGTCTGGTTGTTCCATGTCAGGAACGTCGGTCATTAACCTTTACCAAGGCACCTTACAGCAGAACTGCAGTCGGTCATTGCTGTAACTAAGAGCCAAAAGCAAAATATGAACTTGATGCTGCCTGTTATTTTATCTAGTTATTTGATTTTGCTGGTGAAGCTCTGTGGAGTTATTATAT